AGACAATAAATGACTGAAGCCCAGGAATTCATTGAAACACAGTCAGGAAAGTATGTAAGTGAAATTAATGAAGCATATACTGAGTTCAGGTGTTTATTAAGAAGCTTTGGAGAATCAAATTAAAGAAAAAAATGAAATAAACACGGCGGCTCTTACCATTGACTTTCTCCGGTGATGCAGGTGTTTCAATTTTCAGCGGATTATCTTGGATGACGGGGGTTGAGAACATTTTGTCAATATGCGCCATTAGTTCGGAACGTTGGGCGTTTACCAACTCTGGATATTGTGCAGTGGGTGCATCCATACACGTGCCACTCAGCTCATCTTCCCAATTAACAAAGAGGCCAGGAACGGCTTCGACTTTCAGGTATTTCCTATATGCTCGATCTCTCCCTAACATCACTTGCCAGGAAGTGAGTGACTTGGTGAGCGTCTCCCCTCTCTTCTGGTCGTGCACGTTCTTCCTCTCGACGTCCTCTTTGAGTTGCTGCAGGCTGGTCTTTAATGCCTCGGGATTCCCGGCCATTTCCTTCTTCAGTTTGGCGCGCTGCGTGGCCATCTCAAACTGTCGCTTCCGCTCCTCGGAGCGAATGCTTTTCAGCCCCACTTTGATGGTGCGCTCCTTGTCGAGTTGTTCATCAATAATGTCTCTGACATCCGCATAGGTCAATAGCTGGTTCATCAGGCAAGTAATGATTTTAATTTTGTCCCCGATAGCAAGTTGCACAACGTTGTACACTGATAGAGCTTTCAGAATGTGCGCCTCACGTAGTCTCAGTTGAAAGCCCGGGTCGTCTTCGCTTGTGTAGCCGCCTCTTTGGGCATATCGCCACTTGGATCCAATATCATTGATTCGGGCGCCCGAAGAGAGCAAGTGAATGCGCAGCACTTCTGAGACCGTTAGAGAATAGAGGGGAAGCCGATAGGTTGGCAAGCCCTGGTATTTATTTGCCCATTTAGACGCCAACGTTGCCGAGCGTGAGCTCTGATACAGACTGGGAGCAATTGAATGATTATCCGCTTTTACTCCTGAAAAATATTCACGATAGGCTTTGCTTCCAACTGGCGAGTTGGCCTACCTTTGAGTGCCTCGCTTCTGGTGTTATAACTGTTCGACTCCTCCTCCTGGCAATTGAAGATTGCAGTCAAGAACATCTGCACTAAATCTGTTAGGGGGCCGGCCACTTCCATCTTCAGCAAGGCCCTTTCCATGATATCCAGATTTAGGCCCTCGGGGAAGAAGTCCTTGGGCGTCAGCACTTTCTTGAAGAAATGCACAAACTCCAGAATGGCCAGCACATCGCCGAAGTAGCTGTTTGGCAAGTTGCATTCCACTGGAGTGGGAACTGGCAATTTCTGCAAGGAAAGTGGTTTAGATGCAAGTTTTAGAGCGAAACCAACTGGGCACTTACAACGTGGTCTTCCAGTTCCAAGTCTTCCTTGGGTTTGGACCACTCCCGAAGCCGAACGGCCAACTTGTTGTTGTTCTCCTTGTTTTGCTGCTTGCGCTGGGCTTTCTCCTCGAGCATTTGGCGCTTTAGAAGCTTATAATTCTCCTTGCTTTGCATCATCACTTTCAAAAGTTGCGCCGTCTTCTCGCCCTGCTCTACGCCCGTCCCGGTCGCTCCATTCTTCTGCAGGTATTTGGTCATTGTTTCCTGTCGGTGCTTCTTCGAGGCTTCTTTGTCCTTACATCTGACAGAGTGGAACGTGGGCAACGGCCCATCGAACATGGTCTCCCACATCACATTCTTGATGTTGTACTTCTCCAAAAGGGCTGGTTTAACAACGAACACACCTCGCGAGTCATGCTCGACGTTTTGCTTCAAAAACAGTTTGACCTTTTCTCGATTTAAATGGACTCGTCGCAGTTGGGTGCTGTCCACGATCATTATTTCGCTAATATCGTTATCATCTGCGTCCAAGTGCTCAATCTCGTACTTGTACAGATTGGCCGAAGGCACAAAATGCCGCTCCTTACCGGTCTTATTGCTGGGGAACAGTTTTTTAAGTTTGCTGTTTTATCGCACCACTGAATTCACTTACCCATTAGGTACGATTTCCGCTTTGCATTTCTCCTCTTCGGGCGCAATTACAGATATAATGTGACAATCTTTCCACTGGTTGCTGGTAAAGCAGGCTTGAATGTTTTCGCCCACAAAGTACCGGTCCTTGATGTAAGCGAAAATGTCTTCGGCCATCGCCCCAAAGGCGTTCCTCTGGGTGAGCGTGGCCAGAAACAAAATCGGCACCTTCAGCTGGTTGGGGAACGCTTTGAGGCACTCGATTGCATGTTTCTCACTCTCTTCCGCCTCAACGTAGGTGAGCCCCGATTTGCCCGTCATCGAACAGGTCCAAACCATCGAGTTGCACAGAAACATCCTCTCAGAGAAATCACTGCAAAAAACATTTATCAACTGGGGTTGGATACATTTACGCCCACTGGGGCTTTAAAAACCGTATCTACTTTCCTCACAGTGTTTCAATTCCAAATCAAAACTTAATTCCTGGGTTTCAGTCATTTATTGTCTTTATTTATCAATTAAAATACGTTTCGGTGTATTTTTCCACCATCATCAGTTTTTATGTGTAGCG